AAGCAACAGAGCAGAAATACAAACAATAATAAGAGAATATTATGAGCAATTATATGCCAATAAAATGGGAAATCTGGAAGAAAGGGACAAATTCCTAGAAACATATAAACTACCAAAACTGAAACAGGAAGAAATAGAAAATTTGAATAGACCCATAATCAGTAAAGAAATCAAACTAGTAGTCAAAAATCTCCCAAAGCACAAGAGTTCAGGGCCAGATGGCTTTCCAGGGAAATTCTACCAAACATTTAAGGAAGAGTTAACACCTATTCTCTTGAAGCTGTTCCAAAGAAATAGAAATGGAAGGAAAACTTCCAAACTCTTTCTATGAAGCCAGCATTATCTTGATTCTAAAACCAGACAAAGAACCCCCTAAAAAGGAGAACTACAGACCAATTTCCCTGATGAACATGGATGCAAAAATCCTCAACAAGATATTAGCCAATCGGATTCAACAATACATTAAAATAATATTCACCACGACCAAATGGGATTTATACCTGGGATGTAGGGCTGGTTCAATATTTGCAAAAAAATCATGTAATTCATCACATCAATAAAAGAAAGGACAAGAACCACATGATCCTCTCAATAGATGCAGAGGAAGCATTTGACAAATTACAGCATCCTTTCTTGATAAAAACCCTCAAGAAAGTAGGGACAGAAGGATCATACCTCAAGATCATAAAAACCATATAAGAACGACCCAACGCTAATATCATCCTCAATGGGGAAAAACTGAGAGCTTTCCCCCTAAGGTCAGGAACAAGATAGGGATGTCCACTCTCGCCATTGTTATTCAACATAGTATTGGAAGTCTTAGCCTCAGCAATCAGACAACACAAAGAAACAAAAGGCATCCAAATCGGCCAGGAGGAGGTCAAATATTCACTCTTCACAGATGACATGATACTTTATATGGAAAACCCAAAAGATTACACCAAAAAACTGCTAGAACTGATCCATGAATTCAGCAAAGTGGCAGGATATAAAATCAAAGCAACAGAAATCGGTTGCATTCCTATACACCAATAATGAAGTGACAGAAAGAAAAATCAAGGAATCAATCCCATTTACAATTGCACCAAAAACCATAACATACCAGGAATAAATCTAACAAAGAGGTGAAAAATCTATATACTGAAAACCATAGAAAGCTTATGAAAGAAATTGGAAATTTCTTTCCAAAAAATGGAAAAATATTCCATGCTCCTGGATAGGAAGAACAAATATTGTTAAAATGTCAATACTACCCAAAGCAATCTACATATTCAATGCAATACCTATCAAAATAACACCAGCATTCTTCACAGAGCTAGAACAAACAATCCTAAAATTTGTATGGAACCAGAAAAGACCCCGAAGAGCTAAAGCAGTCTTGACAAAAAAAAAGCAGAAGGCATCACAATCCTGGACTTCAAGCTACACTACAAAGCTGTAATCATCAAGACAGTATGGTACTGTCAGACACTCAGATCAATGGAACAGAATAGAAAACCCAGAAATGGACCCACAAATGTATGGCCAACTAATCTTTGACAAAGTAGGAAAGAATATCCAATGGAATAAAGACAGTCTCTTCAGCAAGTGGTGCTGGGAAAAATGGACAGTGGCATGCAGAAGAATGAACCTGGACCATTTTATTACAGCATACCCAAAAATAAACTCAAAATGGATGAAAGACCTCAATGTAAGACAGGAAGCCCTCAAAATCCTAGAAGAGAAAGCAGGCAAAAAACCTCTTTGACGTTGGCCGCAGCAACTTCTTACTCAACACGTCTCCATAGGCAAGGGAAACAAAAGCAAAAATGAACTATTGGGACCTCAACAAAATAAAAAGCTTCTGCACAGTGAAGGAAACAATCAGCAAAACTAAAAGGCAACTGACAGAATAGTAGAAAATATTTGCAAATGACATATCAGACAAAGGGTTAGTATACAAACTCTACAGAGAACTTATCAAACTCAACACCCAAAAATCAAATAATCCAGTGAAGAAATGGGAAAAATACATGAATAGACACTTCTGCAAAGAAGACATCCAGATGGCCAACTGACACATGAAAAAATGCTCAACGTCACTCATCGTCAGGGAAATACAAATCAAAACCACAATGAGATACCACCTCACACCTGTCAGAATGGCTAACATTAACAACTCAGGCAACAACAGATGTTGGTGAGGATGTGAAGAAAGAGGATCTCTTTTGCACTTCTGGTAGGAATACAAACTTGTGCAGCCACTCTGGAAAACAGTATGGAGGTTCTTTAAAAAATTAAAAATAGAAATACCTACAATCCAGCAATTGCACTACTAGGTATTTATCCAAGGGATACAGGTGTGCTGTTTTGAAGGGGCACGTGCACCCCAATGCTTATAGCAGCTCTATCAACAATAGCCAAAGAATGGAAAAAGCCCAAATGTCCATCAATGGATGAATGGAGAACGAAGATGTGGTATCTATATACAATGGAGTATTACTCAGCAATCAAAAAGAATGAAATCTTGCCATTTGCAACTACTGGATGGAGCTAAAAGGTATAATGCCAAGCGAAATTAGTCAGCCATAGAAAGACAAATATCATATGAATTCACTCATATGACGACTTAAGATACAAAACAGATGAACATAAGGGAAGGGAAGCAAAAATTAATAAAAAAACAGAGGGGGGACAAAACATAAGAGACTCTTAAATCCTGGAGGGATTGTGGAAGGGGGGATGGGCTAAATGGGCAAGAGGCATTAAGGAATCTACTTCTGAAATCATTGTTGCACTATATGATAACTAACTTGAATGGAAATTAAGAAAATAAATTAAAATTTTTAAAATGGTGTAAACACCACAATTAAAAGACAGAGATTGTCAAATTGAGATTAATGGTATCACCCAAGTATAGGCTGCATATAAAAAACATATAGTAAATAAAAGACACTAAAATCTAAGCACAAGCCTGGGATAAGTTCCCAATGAATTCTGCTGCACAATGTGGAACATAAAAAATTCACAGGGAACAGAAAGACAAACTGGGAACGTGAATTGAACACTGAAGAACAGTTGGGATGGGGAATTTTATCATGTTTATTTTACCATAAAAACATGGAAACAAATGATCACAGTACATTATTCATGAGAACAGCTACAGAAATGCCCTCAAGTTCCCCTTCTCTTCCTCCAGGCTTTAAGACTTTTCAAACACAGAGTGACCCGAGCTCCTCTAGGAGAGCCGAGAGGTGAGCACAGCTCCACATGAACCAGATTCATGAAGCCCATCCAGAAGCACAGAGATGCTCTACACCAGCCTGAGAAGGAGCATTTTCACAGGGACCACTCGGGTTATGAGTGAGGCTTGATGTGGTCAGGCTCAGCTACGGGCTCAGGAGACAGAGCTTTGGGGTCCCCACCTGACTTGGACCCTCCTGCTCTCCTTCCTCACTCTCTGCCCAGATGTTGTGTGTCAGGCCTGCCCACAGGCTCAGTCCCCACTGGACCCTGCACATGGCTCTGATCCTGAGCTCAGCCCAAGGGATGAGCTGGGGTGAGACCCCTGAGAATTAGCTGCCAAATCTCCTGAATCAGCAGACCCTATGGTCCCCTATAACACTCACCTATCCCCATTAGAGTGACCATGAGAATCCTGTCACTCCCACCTGCTCGGAGAGAGAGGAGCATACAATAATGTATAGAAGAGCCAGCAGGACCCAGGCCACGCCCCCACATAGCAAAAATGTAATGTGTATGATGTGAAATTGTATGCCTAGGTCTGAATTAGTAGAATTCCAAATTCATCCAAGCCACCAATTATGCTAGTGTAGATGTCCTCCCACCAAAACTCCCAGAGGTGTGGGTTGTAATAAATACAGGAACGGTAGAGATTGTAATAATAATAATAATAAATTTTGGTGCACACGTGAACATTAATACTAGGGGCAACACCTATTCACACCATGTCCCAATTGCACTAACTTTAATGTGGAAACATCAGTCTGGATACCTAAATGGACAGAAAAAGGGGTGGCTATAAGATATCACATAGGTTTCCCAGACCATGACCCTCTGTAAATGCATTCCAGTTTACCCTGTGCTCTCTTTTGTAACAATAGGCCAGTCCAGGGCATTTCAATGCTGGAACACATACAGGAATTGTGCTGCCCTGCCTCCATGCATTTTGTAAGTAGCCTGATTGTGCTGGGCTGGGCTGGCAAGAGGTGGCAGCTGCCTGAGAAGTTGACAAGTACTGTGGGGTGACCTGACCCGCAGGAGGGAAGCTCCTGGTCTGAGTCTCCTCCACCAGCAGGGGGCAGCAGAGCTGCATCAGGAGGAGCAGGACGGAGGCTTGAGCTGCCCAGGTGGAGCCTCACAGGGACACCAGACCTGGGAGTCAGCAGGTGTCCAAGGTTCACTCATCAGAAGAAAATTGGGATGATGCATCCTATCTCCTCAGGCCGTAGGAACCATGTTCTGAGAGGGTCAGACATACAATGTCACCCAGTACACTGATGGATGTCCTGACACTATAATGCTTCCCTTGGGAAATGCCAATGCCCTCACTGTCCACCGGTGTTCCTGGAGGCTGACTCCTCTGGGATGAACATGTCTAGAGACACCCCGAGCACTCGCCCTCAGCCTCTCCCTCTCCACTTCAAGAAAGACCTAGACCCGGGGCTGAAGTTCTTTTGCTCAGGAGCATCTCACACCAATGATCTTTGTCAATGATTCTAATTACTAATTTGGCCCTAATGTTCATTATGGTAACCATACTCACTTGTCATTTGTCATAAAGTGGAGATATATATATATGAAACACACTTTATACATATATATATACATACAGATGAGAGATATAAATATATATACATATATAAACATACAAACAGCAGAAATATATAAATATATATACATACACATATTCCTAAGTATATTCATATATGTGTACATGCATAAATATATAATATTAAAGGATGTGTAACAGAAATTTGGTATCATACTGAAACACATACCTGGCACAGGAGTCAGAAGCTGAAGGAGGATGAAAGGTGCAGCCATTGCAATGTGGTCACTGTCATATGTCAACAAGGTGACCCAGCAGATAAGCCTCAACATCAGCTACAAAAAGGCTGATGCTTCATCTCCAGTTTTCTGGGAAATTCACACAGGAATCACACCTGCGGTTCAGTAAAAGTGGAAACAAACGGCAAAATAAATTCTGAAAACATATCACTGCAGCCCTGAAATTTTTAACTTAGGAGAAAATATCACCTTGAAATTGAACTAGTTCAGATTCCTAGTCACCTTAGGTTCTCACTGCCCCTTCACCCTCAGACTAACAGAAATCTGCCCTGCAGACCCTAACTCTGCTGTCTCCAAACACACGCCTGGTACCTGTTCCTTCTTCCCATCCTGACAGCAGCTCCAATGTCACCTCCCCCGAGAGGCCTCTTCCAACCACTTCCAACCACACAGTATCTGCCTGTCATTTTGTCAGATCTCCGTCTGCACATTACCTACTACTGAACTTTTCCCCCAATCATTATTTGACTAATTGATTGACTTGTGGCAATTGATTTGTAATAATGAAAAACATACACATGATGATCAGACACAGGAACAAACAGGAGACTATTTTCTCCTCTGATAATAAGTTCTGGATCAGATGGTGTCTCTCCAGGTATTCACCAATTCCATGAGGTTCCAAATCTTCTCACTTTCTTTTCCACCATCACTACTATGGAGGCCTTGCTTTTCATTCTTGTTGACGACAGACATCAGGATGGCTGCTGCAGCTCCAGCTATCATATCCTCTATGTTCAAGAGGAAAGGCACTCCATAAACCCAGTCTGTTTCTTTCCTTCATGAGAGGACATGTCTCGGGAAAGTATTCCAGACACTGACACTTCTATGGGCAAGTGCTAGGCCACAGGGTGAGTTCTCTGAGGGACCTCAGAATAGCGATGGTCTGGCTATTGAATGAATATAGAAGTCATGATACAGGTAGAAGGTGGTAGAGACTGTCTGCTGTATCACCAAAACAAGTGTGTCCATTATGCTGCCCCATCTATAACATGGAAACTCTGAGGCAGGGACTAGGCTTTCTTCACACTGACTTCCAGGATGAAATGTCCACTAGACCAACGTGGGTCTGAGTGAATGTTGTTGGATAAAGTTCTTGTGTCTCTGTCCTTGGAGCTGGAGCCACCACCACCCTATTTTGCTGCACCACCTGCCTGCACCAGGAAGAGGCAGCCCCTGAGTCCTGGGTTCCCCAGGTGCCAAGTCCTATAACCCCACATATGACCACCCACCCCCCTAGAGATATATGCTATGAGTCCTCAAGGGGCCCCATCTTCTCCTCAATTGATCCTCTTCCTATTTTCATGGAGAACCTGATCCCCACCTGCCTGGTCTTGAGGCTGGAAGTATCCACAAAGAGAAGAGCAAGTCCTCCCCTGGGGTCAGCAGTCCATGGATCAGGGAATCAGGATCTGAGCAGTGGGTTCTGAATCCTCACCTGGACAAAGGACTTCCCTCCACCTCCACAACCAGTGTAGGGCGGCCAAAAAGGGACAACAGAGATCACCAGGCAAAGCCGCTTGGACAAGAGGGGAGCCCGGCATCAGGGATTCTAAGATGCAGGGGGCGTTAGTCACCATGACCTGACACCTGAGGGAAAAGGTGTAGGTTTTCTGCTGTATCACCTTTAACACGGCTGTAAATTCTGATTCAGTGTCTCTCAGATCTGTCTCCCTCCTAGGGTCTCCCAAGAGCAAAGACAGGACAAAACACGGTGTTGAAAAGTCAGATTCAACCATGAGACCAGAGAGTGAAGAAGCACAGTACCCTGGGCTGAGGGTGGGTCTCCAAGGGGTTTCCCCTGTCCTCTCCTTGTCTCTTGGGACTGAGCCTCTCTCTGAAACCACACAGCCCCTCAGCAGCAGCCCCTGAGCCACAGCTGATTTGCATGAACAGCAGGTGTCTCCAGCAAGGGGATAAGTCAGGCTGGGGAGGAACCCTACCCAGCCTCAGGACCTCGGGAGCAGAATCAGGGCACCTCCACCATGGCCTGGACCCCTCTCATCCTCAGCCTCCTCACTTACTGCACAGGTGCTGAGCCCTGGTTCATACCCACCCTAGCAGCAAAGTTCTGAGTCGAGCCTGATTCAGAAGAGGGCTGCCTGTGGGGGGTAGGATGTTAATGAAAAGTCTGGAGGGGTGAAATTTTCCCACTGTGCTCACTCACTCTGTGTGAGTCCTGAGTGGCTGTCTCTACCCAGAGAATAATGATGGTGGCCTCTTTTGTTTAAAAACTCCATCTGCCAGCCAGGTCCATGGGTCCAAAGGGCTGAGGAAGGGGGGGGGGGGGGGCAGAGAATCCCTGGAGATCAGCCAGGCAGGTGGGAGTGTCCTCAGAATGAAACCGAAGCTAGAAACCCACCTCTCCTTTTCTCTCTTGCAGGTTCCGTAGCCTCCTATGTGCTGACTCAGCCCCCCTCAGTGTCGGTGAGCCTGGGACAGACGGCCAGGATCACCTGTGGAGGAAACAACATTGAAAGCAAAAGTGTTCACTGGTACCAGCAGAAGTCAGGCCAAACCCCTGTGCTGATTATCTATAATGATAGCAACCGGCCCTCAGGAATCCCCGACCGATTCTCAGGCACCAACTCGGGGAACACGGCCACCCTGACCATCAGCGGGGCCCGGGCCGAGGACGAGGCTGACTATTACTGTCAGGTGTGGGACAGCAGTAGTGATGCTCACAGTGACACGGGCAGATGGGGAAGTGAGACACAAACTCCTTTCCAGTCTGTGTTACATCTCCTCCAGGCCCAGGATGTCTGTGGACCGTGAGCAGGCCCGGTCCAGATCCCCAGATCTAAGGTCCTCAAGTACTGGTCCTACCTAGCTCTCCAGGCATCTCTGCACAGGGAGAATCAGGAGTGGATTTAGGGCTGACAGAACTAGGCTTCCCTGCTTGTCTGGGCCTGGGTGTTAACTGCAGACAGAGAGCCTGAGTGACTGTGATCACAGACCCAGGGAAAATTAGGGGATCTCCTGAATCCATACATTCTCACCCTAGTTGTGTAGTAGAAACTCTCCCCCCCTTGATAATCGTCATGGATCATCCCATCCAGTGCCCCCTCTTTACCTGACGACTCACTCCCAGGATGAGGCAGGAGGGGTCATGGTGCATTCTCCACCACCAGAGCAGTGCAGTCAATATGCTACTGGGAACTCGATCATCCCATGGGGCTGGTGAAAAAGGCTAGTCTTACCTATGTTTCCCACATCACTACAGGGTCTAGAATCTGAGTCAAGCTCGTTGACCGAGGCAGGACAGTTAAGCCCCAAGACCCAGGTGGCCAGAAAGGACATGGGGAGACCAGCAGAGGAAGTGAAATTTTCCATGGTGGTTTACAGCCGAGCCTGTGAAACTGGGTGAGCACCCTGTCCCCCAAGGGGGCGGCCTAGGGGCGCTTCACCAGATGCAGCTGCAGCTGCAGCAGGTTGGGGTGGGGCTCAGGCATCTGCATGCGGAACAGCTCCCAGGGGGTCTGTGGTGCTGATCCTCCCAGGACCACACTCTGCGTGGCCTCACTCCTGCTCCCCCGCTGCTCCCAGCACGGGTGAGAGGCCCACAGGGAGGCACAGTGTGAGGCACAGATGTCCTGCTCTCTCCCATCCAGGGCCTGTGGGGATGGGACCCTGCATCCCTGCTTGTCCATTTGCTCCCTCCCGTCAGGGCTGGAACCAATCTGTCCTAACTCAGCCTCCCCAAGTATCTGGGGTCACCCAGACAGTCACCACCTCCCTGAGGTAGCAGGTAGCAGGGACACTGGGGATGTAATTGTGTCTCCTGCTACTAACAGTTCCTGGCACAGCCCCACATGGCCAAGGGTGGAGTCAGGAATCACACCTCGGGAGACCCCAGGCTCCAACTCTGGCAGCCTGACCTCTCTGAACATGTCTAGGCTTCAGAGCAAGTCTAACGCTGTCATAACCCCCAGCTCTGGAGCCCTGAAGGAGCCCGGGCCTCAAGCCATCAAAGATCTTCATGCCTTCTAATAAACCCCTTTCTGCCACCCCATACATACTCCACCTGGTTTCCTGCCCCCCAAAGCTCGCTGCACAAGATGCTTGGGTATCCATGCTTAGCTGTTACCAGCAAATCATGCTTCCCTCTCAATTCAAAGTATTTCCTCAGGGTGTCCAGCCAGGCCCAAGGACTGAGTGACAGTCCTGTGCTGAATATTCCCTCAGGACCCTGCATACTCCCCATTGCAACACTCTTTACACCAAGACTAGGATCTAATTAATACTCCTCCTCATACTTAGTTCAGTCCTGTGAGGGAAGATGGTGCCGGAAATCAGGCCCTGACACGCTGACTGAATATACACTGTGCACGCAGATAACTCCCACTGGACAACGCAGAACGTTCTTTGGGACCAGACAGGCACTCAGACCCGGGGCCTCCTCCTGCTAGTCACTTCCACGTGCCCAGGGAAAGTCTGCAGCTCCATTCAGGCAGGAGCAGGGTCAGCCCCACCCAGCCTTCCTCCAGCCCCTCCAGCAGGGAAGGAGCCCACCTCTGTGTGTGCTTAGAGACTGTGTCCTGACCCATCACCTGGACCCCACATGCTTTCTCCTCCCCTCTCTCCTCAGTGAGCACACCATGTCTGATTCAGCCTATTCTCCTATTCACTAACAATCGTTGCTTCTATTACATGATTAGTTAGCTTGTTAGTTAATTAGTCACATGACTTATTACCTCATGTGTCTGTGAGGGGGAAGTAAGGCACATGACTATAACCATGACGCTCATGTTTAGACTCAGAGGTTATGGTTGATGTTGGCTCATTCCTCCAGCAGTGTTGAGCCCCCGCTATGTGCCCAGTTCTATGCCAAGCACTAGTTAGAGGCTGTCAGCGACAGAGTCTGGGGTCCAGAAAACCACACGCAAGAGGAGAAAATAGGTCTTAGTCTATACACATTCCGTGTACAAGACACAAAGGAGAAATTACCGGAGTTCTGACATGCTGCTCTCTGGGACGGCACAGAGGTGCCCATATGGAGGATCATGATGTCATCCACGCAATGGGGACCTGAACTATCCCGCCTCTCAGGCTCCTGGGAACGAAAAACATCATAATGTGTGGGCCAGGGGGCTGAGTATAGGCACCTGTCAGCTCCTTGTAAAATATTCACCATGAGTGATCTTCAGGTTGGGAGGATGAACAGTACTCAGTCTGGAGCTCAGTCAGTGTAGCAGTCAGGACTTGTCCCTGCTCCCAGGCTCCTCCCCAGGTGTGCCCTGCACTCAGCTCCATGTGGTCCCAACCCCAGGACCCAGCTTCCACAGACACCGAGGAATGGACAGAAGGGGGTCTGGCACCAAGAGTCTGCAGAATACGGAATCTCAGCCTCGCCTGGCTCACTCCATGGTCCTATAAACTGCAGGCCTCCCTGCCCCATGGGAGGAGATGCCCCTTCTGAACTGATGCTGGGCAGAGAAGAGAGGGCTCAGAGGCCAGCAGAAGCTGAGCTAGTGGTGACCACTGCAGGTCACAGCCATGGCAGAGCCCTCCATGGAGCTCCCGAAGTTGTATAGGATTTCCTTTGGCCTAGGAGAGCAGGTTGTGGGGCTGAGGGTGTGGGCTTGGGGTAAGAACACTCCTCTCTGTTCCTCTGGATTCTCTGTCTTCTGACAACCTCAGCTGCCTCCTCGGGTGGCCAGAGCAGGCTCGTCTGATTTTAGACCTAGGCAGGTAATGCCTTTGTAGAGTAACAGGGCCGGGGGACCCTGCCCCATCTGTGGAGTCTCAGGAGGCACAGCTCTGGGACATCTTCTTCATGGCCTAGACCCCTTCTCCTTCTCTTCACTCTCTGAACAGGTATTGTCCCAGCCTCAGCCCACACACTTGGCCTCCATAGGACCGGAGCTGGGTCTGTCCCAAACTCTGAGTCAGCTCAGAAAACCTTAGAGGGAATGGACCTTACTTCCTTCAGCCCCCTCTCCTCTCCTCTCATACAGGCTCTGTGCCTCTTACAACCCGAGCCAGACCCTGCCCATGTCAGTAGCCCTGGCCAGATCCAGGACCCCCTGCTCTCTAGATAAGCTCATGCATGAATCTGCATCTTGGAACCAGCAGAAGCCAAGTCAGGACCCCAAGCCAGATATATATAAAGACAGTGAATGACCCTTAGGAATCCCTGACTAATTCTGAGGATCCTACTTGGGGACATGGCCACCCTGAGAATCAGACAAACCCTGTGCCAAGACAAGGCTGACCATTTCTGTGCCATTTCCCATGACAGGGGACAACTGGTAGTAATTCATTGTGACACAGATAAATGAGGAAGTGAGACACAAACCTGCCATCCCTGGCCTGGCATTTACTCGCATTGGCTCTCTGGGCAGGTGTAGGTCAGGCCTTAGGGTCAGGAGCCTTCCCTGGTCCTGGCCCAGCCCCTGCACAGTGGGAGACTCCAGCAGGTTCTCTGTCCTCAGTATCTGTATATCATACCGAACAGTAGAGAGCTATACTGACTTGTGGGGACTGTACTGACATATTATACTATATAATGAGGCTTTAGGGTGTCATCATACATTACATGGGCCCCAGATGTAATCACATGTCACAAAAGAGAGGACACAGTTGTCTCAGACAGCACAGTCCTGCGGAAATTCCTCTTCCCTTGGGTACAGCCAGCCTGGATGGGCCCCAGGGGCTGTGCCTCCCCTGATTTCCTGGATGAGGTGTCCCCACATCCTGAAGGACTGTCTGAGGCTTTGTGAAGAGGGAACCAGGCCTCTACTGCCCCAGGCTCTTCCCTCCTTAGGTTTTACAGAAACTGTGGAAGAAATGCAGATACCCACTTAGGTCCCATGTGGGGACTCTCTCCTGGCCCCACTGTCCTCCCACTGCCCCAAATACCATCACCTGCACCAGGCAGGTCTAACCCTTAGCTCAGGTGGGACCCACATGGCCTCACACCACCCCTGTGCTGACCCTGCAGGGTCCACATCTGCAATTGGACATCACCTGTCATTCCAGGATAAAGATCTTTTCCAAGATGTCAATAAAGTTGTATCATGCACTGAATTTCTCTTCAAGATTCTTTGGCTTGTGGTTTTGAAATTGACTTTTACAGCAATTGCATGAAGTCAAAATGACAGATGATGAATTTTTTTAAGAAGGAAGAGCAGGGGCACCTGGGTGACTCAGCCCGTTAAGCGTCTGACTCTTGATTTTGGCTAATGTCATGATCTTGCAGTTTGTGAGTTCAAACCATGCATGGGGCTCCACGCTGATGGTGGGGAGACTGCATGGATTTCTCTCTCCCTTTCTCTCTGCCCCTCCCCTGCTCGTTCTCTCTCTCTCCCTCTCTCAAAACAAACTTAAAAAAATTTTAAAGAAGGAAAAACAGAAGCTTCCCCTATTCCCACTCCTTTCTAAATCACAGTGACACCTCCGTGGGGATGGGGAGACACAGGACAGAGAATCATTGTGTCCTAGAAAAGCATGGTAAGTATACTTGCATTATTCCATCTGCGACTTGCTTATGGACCTGGAAAACTAGAAAGACCATTTTTTGTGGGAATTCCTAAGACTAAAATAATATTTCCAGGAATTTTTCAGGTTAAAGGATCCTTAAAAGGTCACTCTAGACGATTATAATCTGGAGATTCTCACCATAGGATTTCTCATCAACAGGACAAAGAAATCGCTAGCACCTTAGGGAGGTTCTTAGGTTCCCCAGTCCCATGGCCAAGTGCAACAGCGTCCCCCACAGATGCTTGACAGACTGAGAGGACCAAGCTGTCTTCTTCAGGACCCAGAACATTCTGGCTGAGGTCGACCCTCATCCCCTCTCAGCCTGGGTGGCCTTCCTCACCTGGTGCAGGTGACTATTGCTGCCTTGCACCTGCCAGCCTCCACTCTTCTCTCTGCCTCTTCAGGGACTGGGGATCGGTGGTCCTCTCCTGGCCTCCCCTCCCTGTCAGGTGCACCCCTCGCTCATGTCCCTGCTCGTGCCATCCAGTCTGTGGGTGTTGGGGAAAGCAGTGACAGGTCATCCACATGGGACCTCAGACAGGGGGCCAGGAACACATACACATGAAGCACCTTAATCCCTGTGGCTACAGTTGATAAGAGGTTGGGGGGAGGAAAGGACTAGTAACCACTCCTCTGAATGGCCTCAGCCCCTGGGTGACTTAAGGAGAACCCAGGGCTGGTCTGAACCCACCCATGTCAAACTTGTGCCCGCCCCAGCAGTTTCCTCCTGGAGGCCCCTCCAGTGCCCAGCAGCTGCCAAGAGATCCTGACTTTTTTTTTTTATGTTTTTTAAATTTATTTTTTAAAACAGAGACAGAGCATGAGCAGGGGAGGGGCAGAGAGAAAGAGGGAGACACAGAATCCGAAGCAGGCTCCAGGCTCTGAGCTGTCAGCACAGAGCCTGACGCTGGCCTCGAACTCACGGACTGTGAGATCATGACATGAGCTGAAGTCGGGCCTAACCGACTGAGCCACCCAGGTGCCCCAAGAGATCCTGACTTATTACCTAGAAACTGCCTCTTACCACACCTGACCACACTTTCTGTGCCCAGAATGCTCACCTTAGGAGAAAAGTCCACACAGGCCCTGAACTGGGTTGGAATCCCAGGTCCCTCAGGTTTTTCCTGTTCTTTCAGATCCTTTATACCTTTCCCCAAGGACACTACTGTGCTCTTCCCGTACACATCTCACTGCTTGTTTCTTCTTTCTGTACATCTCTAGAGCAGCTCCAGAATAACTCCTTCAGAAGGAACTGTGTGTTTTGTTCATGCAAAATTCCCAGGATGTAATGTGTGCCAGAATAATATGGGTCTGAATAAATGTCTGCTCTGTGGACGCTGTCCTGTCTCTGTCTTTGAAGCATTAGTCCCCAGTCACCTTTCGCCCCACACACATCAGGCTTGAATCCATACTTGGCACCAATAATAATGATTCCCTGAAGCCTGTGTCTCACAGTGCTAAGCTGTGACACCACATGCATGACCTCCCACCACCTTAGAGACAGGTACAGGGATGCCTCAGTGAAACCTGTGCCCTCTTCCACAAAATGAGCCTGTTCGTGTTTTCATGAATAATCTGGGCACCTCATGCCAGGACATGAAGCAGGCAGGAGCCATGCATAGAAAAGTCATTCCTCCCTGGGGCAGCAGTCCATGGAGCAGGACTCAGCATCTGAGCTGTAGGTTAGGAATCTCCACTTCACAGGGGAGGCCCTAGCACCTCCAGCAGCCAGTGTGGAGTGGCCACCAGGGGGCAGCAGAGATCACCTGCCAAAGCCACCTGCAGATGGGAGAGTCTGGCCATTAGGGCTTTTAACAGACAAGGGGGGTTAGCAACCCAGACCTGAGGCCTTCAGGTTATTTGTCATTGGCCTACAGTGTCATCCTTCACTCTCAAGTACACATTCTTCAGGGTGTATGTGTGTTGGGTCCTGCTCATGGAGACATCACCTATTCCTCTAATACAGGTAGAGGCACTTTTCCCACCACCAACACATACCCCAGCACACTTTAACGGACCTAAATTAGGCACTTTGACTGTCCACAAACACTGGACCTCCCTGTGATCACACATTTCCCCTTCCCTTCCCTGAGCTGTCAGACACAGCCCCTCCTCCTTCCTGGAAGTTCCTCCCACCTGCACCCTCACCTGTGCCTCCACTTATGTCCCTCAAGAAAGGGAGAGGGGACTGGAATATTCTGTTCTTCCCTTTCACAGTGCCCACAACACAGCAATTTTTATGATAATATTTTTTCAACTTCACTTATACATTAAGATGTTTATTACATATTTTCCCCAACAACTGAAGACAACATAATTATGACAGAGTTGGCTTGAGGAGTCAGTAAACTTTGAAGCCCCCTCTCATTCTCTTATATGGCAATATTTCTTTCTTCACCTGATCTGTGCAGGGTCCAGCCTGAAGATGAAGCTATTACTGTCAGTCAAGAGACAGCAGTGGTGATGCTCACAGTGACACAGGCAGAGGGGGAAGTGAGACACAAACCACTTCCCCATCTATGTCACACTCTCCTTCAGCCTCAGGAGGAATGTGGACAAAGAATTCAGTAGGTCTGGCCCAGGTCTCCAGATCTGAGATGCCCAGACCTCTCTCCCAACCCAACTGCCCAGGCAGGCTCTGCACCCTGTAGGTGAGGAGTGCATGTGCAGGAGGCAGGATGAGGCTATCAGGTTTTCCTGGCTAGGGTATTTGTTGGGGATGGAAGACCAGGTTGGAAGGACACACAGAGAGACATCCATAGACACATGACAAGCTCGAGGTGACAAAGGGAAGTCTCAGCTTTCAGTTGAAGAATCAGTGCTGTGTCTCTGGATGGAAGCATTTCTTCTTTAGCACCAAGACCTCTAGGGCAGTGAGTGTAGGATCACGGGGACAGGGAGCAGTAGCTTGGCAGCAGGTCTCCAGGTTTATCAGTGGGGAAATGCTCCCAATTACAGTCCCTGATTCCTGGACGCAGGAATGCCAGCTATGGGAGAAACAGTGCCACGTAGTGCACATGTGTTTAGAGCAAAGAACGTGTCCTGAAAGGGGTTGCCATGTGGCTGCCAGAGCAACTGAGTCTTCAAGAGGCTGCTAGTCTGTTCATTCGAGCCGGATGCTTCAGAATGTTGAAGAACATGGCCTGATCAGTGAATTCATGGGCACGAGCGTGTTGCACCGCTTCATCTGATGTGAAATGAGTGCCTTGGGAAAAAGCTGCAGGTGGAATATGACAACAGTTGCTTAAGCATTCCGTGAGTCCATGGAGAATCATCTGGGCAGAGAATGGCAGGCAAAGAAAGCAAGTCCCTATCTGGGGCTGTAGTACTAATATTGTTAACTATCGGGGTGGCCACACATCATAAAGAAACCTCTGTGAACCAGCCCTAAGTGTTCTTCTCTATGTCACCACTCATAATATGGCCCCACAAGACCATAGTTGTAGGCAATTGAGAAAAGACAATGCAGCAAGGTTGGGGTCATGGGCGCTGGGGCCATTTTCTCATGCAACTCACCTGTGACTTGAGGACCTAGTGAAGCCTGACCTCCTATTAGCCTCTTCCAGTTAATGGAAGAGATGGAGAGCTCTTGAGAATGCCCAAGTCATGGCATGACTGGTCAGATAACACCCAATCCATTCAGGCAACTCAGGTCATGGGGTAATAAAGAGCATACAGTCTGTATAAGGCTCAGTAACAACCTAAAGTGCTTTCCAAATGAAGCTTTCTGTTTATACAGATGAAATGAAAATTGGTAGGCTGCTCATCTATTTCAGTTCTAGGAACACCATGATCAACTGGCTGACATCAATGAACTCGGTCAAATAATTCTGATTACTAATTTGATTCTGCTGCTCATTGTGGCAACCACCCCCACCTCATCACTGGTGATAAAATGGACCACTGTGTCTCCTGACCAACCAAGGATCCCATCAAGTACAATCTAGTATCCAATTCAGGGTTCGGAGCCTCTAGGAAAAAACATATAAGTATATAAACACACACACCTACATACAAAGAGACAGCAGAGACACATTAGTATATATTTACTCACACATTCATGATATTCCTATATGTGCACGTGCATAAATCTATAATATTAAGGGATGCATTGCAGCATCACAGGAATTTGATGTCATGCTAAATACACGCACCTGGCACAGGAGTCAGAAACTGAAGGGAGACGAAAGGTGCAGCCACTGCAATGTGGTCACTGTCATATGCTAAGGAGATGACCCAGCCTCAGTGACTGGCAGCTACAAAAAGGCTGTTGCTTCCCCTTCAGTTTGCTCAGGAATTCACATAGGAATCACTCCTGTGAGTCACCAAAAAGAGAAACAAACAGCAAAATAAATTCTGGCAACACATCACTTAAGCCCTGAAAATTTTAACTTATAAGAAAATATTACCTTGAAACTGAATGAGTTTTATTTTTTTTAATTTTTTTAAATGTTTATTTATTTTTGAGAGAGAGAGACAGAGCATGAACGAGGGAGGGGCAGAGAGAGAGGGAGACACAGAATCTGAAGCAGGCTCCAGGCTCTGAGCTGTCAGCACAGTGCCCGACGCGGGGCTCGAACTCACGGACCGTGAGATCATGACCTGAGCCGAGGTCAGACGCTCAACCAACTGAGCCACCCAGGCGCCCCTGAAACTGAATGAGTTTTAAATCACAGACACCTTAGATTCTCACACCTCCTTCGCCCTCAGACAAACAGGAATGTTCCCCGCAGGGACTGACCCTGCCGTCCCCAAACACACGCCCACCACATGTTCCTTCTTCCCATCCTGACAGCAGCTCCAAGGTCACTCTGCAGAGAGGCCTCTTCCAACATCTCACCACATAGCACCTGCCTGTCATTTCTTCTGATCTCCATCTTAATGGCCTACTACTGAATGGTTTTCTCCCTGCCATTATTTTATTAATTCACTGATTGGTGGTAATCATTTCCCTACTGGTCAATAACATTTTCATGTAAAACATACACATGATAATCAGAGGCAGGAACAGACAAATCCCCTCCCAACAAAGTCTGGAGTCAGATGGCTCTTCTCCAGACACTCACCAATTCCAAGAATTCCCAGCTATGTTCATTTTTTGTCCCAACAGCCCAGCTACGGAGCTTTGCTTTTCTTTCTTGCTGACAATAGACAGGTGCCTGCTGCAGCTCCAGCTGTCACACCCGTGCTCAAGAGGAAAGGCACTCCACAAATCTGGTCTCTTTCCTTACTTCATGACAGTGAAAGTCCCCAAACAGATCCCCAGCTGAATGACATATCCATTGGCTAGTGCTGAGCAACAGGGTCCATCCTGGCCCAGAGGGACATGGGAATAGCAATGGCTTGGCTTTCAAATGAATGTAGAACACAAGACGTAGGTAGAAGGCGGTAGAGACGTCTGCTGTGTCACCAAAACAAGTGTGTCCACTACGCCGCCCCTCCCACAGCACGGAAATTCTGGGAAAGAAACTGTGCCTTCTTCGTAGAGATTTCCCAGGATGGACAGTCAGCCAGACCGAAGTGGGTCTGAATAAATGTTTGTTGAGTGTGTGTTCTCCTGTCTCTGTCCTTGGAACACCAGCCACCATGGCCCTGTTTGGTGCACCAGCTGACAGCACTAGCAAGAGGCAGTCCCCGAGTCCTGTGTCACCTCCTGCAAGGCCCAGAGCCACACCCATGACCACCCACCTCCCCAGAGATGTGAGCAGTAAAACCTCAGATGGGCCTTACCTGCTCCTCCCATTGGCCTGTTCCTATTTTCATGGATACTCTCATCTCCTGAAGTCTGGCCTTGAGAGTGGCAGGGACCATGTAGAGAAGAGCAGTTCCTCCCCTGGGGACAGCAGTGCATCAATCAGGGAATCCTACTCCGAGCTGTGGGTTCTGAATCTCCAGCAGGGCAAAGGACTTCCCCGCGCCTCCAGCAGCCAGTGTGGAGCCACCACCAGAGGGCAGCAGAGATCACCCAGCAAAGCCACCTGCACACAGGGAGGCTCCAGGTATCAGGGGTTCTAACAAGGAGGGAGGGCTGCTAACCAGGACCTGAGACCTGTGGGAAAGATGTCGTTTCTACAGCACCACCTCTGACTCTGATGTAAAATTCTGACTCGCTGTCTCTCAGTTCTCTGCCTTGTAGATTTGTCTCTGTCTCTAGCACAGGTCCAGTACTTCATGCCTCTCCAGCCCGACCCATTCCTGCTTAAACTCAGCCACTGTCAAACCTTGCTAAAGCTGGGTCTGTCCCTGGCACTGAGCACACCCTCAGAGTACTGAGGCATAGGATCGATAACCTGTCCTCGGGAACCCATGTGTACTTGGCAAGGGAGGAATTCGGTTTGGGTTCTGGTGTTCCTCAACAGAGATATAACTTAGGAACCACACTGACCTAAGCCACCTTAAACTGCCTGCAGAGGAAACGTGCTCATGGACTCAGAAAATGCAGACAAACGCCATCTCTGAGCTCAGCCAGGACAAGCCACCCCAGGAGCAAGGTCAGGACACGGAGAGATATGGAGTGTGGACCCAGCCTATGCGACCAGAGTGTAAGTCAGAATTCCCTGGGCTGAGGGTGGGTCTGCAGGGCTGTCCCTCCCTTCTCTGGCCCCTTGGGGCTGAGCCCTTCTCTGAAACCACAAAGCTCCTCAGCAGCAGCCCCTGAGCCCTGGCTGATTTGCATAACCAGCAGGTCTCTCCAGCAAGGGGATAAGAGAGACTTTGCCCAGTCTTGGGCCTTGGTAGCAGAATCAGAGTGCCTCCACCATGGCCTGGACCCCTCTCCTCCTCGCTCACTGCACAGGTGCTGCACCCAGGCTCAGACCCACTGCAGACCCAGGGATCTGGGGCAATCCAGGCCCTGACTCTGAGCTCAGCAGGGGGCTGGTTGTAGGGGGAAGGATGGTTATGACCCTGCTGCAGGATGAGAGACTGGAGGGGTGTAATCTCCCCAAATCCTCACTGGCTCTGTGTGACCCTGAGGCACTACGCCTTCCCGGAGAAAAATGAAAATGGACCCCTTTGTTCAAAAGCTCCATACACCAGCCAGGCCTATTGGCCTCAGGGGCTGAAATGATTGGAGGGTGGAAACAGGGGGCCCAGATCCCTGGAGCTCAGGCCAGGTAGGGGAGGGTCTCCTGAGATGAGATCCAGAGCTGAAACCTCCCTTTTCTCTCTTGACGGTTCCGTGGCTTCCTATGAGCTGACTCAGCCCCCATCAGTGTCAGTGAACCTGGGACAGACGGCCAGGATCACATGTGGAGGAAACAACATTGGAAATAAAGATGCTTACTGGTACCAGCAGAAGTCAGGCCAGGCCCCCATGCTGATTATCTATGAGGACAGCAAACGGCCCTCAGGGATCCCTGACCGATTCTCTGGCACCAACTCGGGGAACATGGCCACCTTGACCATCAGCGAGGCCCAGGCCGAAGATGAGGCTGACTATTACTGCCAGGTGTGGGACAGCAGTAGTGATGCTCACGGTGACACAGGCAGAGGGGGAAGTGAGACGAAAACCCCTTCCCCATTGGTGTTACACTTTCCTCTAGCTCCAGAAGGCCTGTGCACAAAGCAATGCAGAAGATCTGACAGAGGTGTCCAGACCCAAGGTCCCCAGACCTCCCTATGCACCCACCCTTCAGGTGGTTGATTTGTAGATCCTGAGATTGTCTGGGCCAGACTGTGTGTGAGAGCAAAGGGACTGGCTGGAAGGACAAACAGAAACATCCATCCACTGCTCATTATCCCTGCATTTCCATATGGTGGTCATGGGCTACTCCCTCACATAACGGACAAGTATTAGAACCCAGACATTTCCAGCTCAGCTGAACTCCTAAAGCCCTGCCACAATGACAGCTGGGGACTCTGAGTGGAGCAGACAAGTGCATTACCCACTGTGGTGTCACCCCCCTCCTGGGCTCACACATGCACCCACCTCTGCCTAGAGCCCCTGACAGCTCACAAGGGGTCCTCCTGGCTGGGAAGTGCTCTTGGTTCAGACAACTGCCTCCCCAGATTTTTGCCCTTCTCAGAGAGGTTCCATTGAGAGATGCCCTGAATCCAAGGTCCCAAGGCCCTACCTCAGGTTCAAATGTCTGAAAGGTCCCAGCTTTAGAGCTCCCTGAAGGATTGAGGCCTCATCTGACATCTCATTCTGTGTGGGTCACTCTTCTTTCTGCCCAGTCTGACCTCCCTCCTCCTTCCAGGTTTCCGCACATGCACTTCTCCGTCTCAGAGTCTGATTGCAGAAACCCAATCCGGGCTGGTGGGCATCCCTGACAGGGTCCTCAGGGACATTAAGAGGTCACTATATACCCACATCTAGGGTTTCTCCCCCAATTCTCCAATGTGCATGTCAAATCCCCAGAGATCAAATTGTTTCTTATATTTTGATACAATGAGAAAAGATGCAGACACACTATGTGCCCTAGGTTCTGATGGACAGTTCGCAAGTCACATCCAATCTGATGGTGAATGAGGGACGTGGAGAAGTTGCTCCCTCTTACAAAGTGACCAGAAGGTACACAATCACAAGGGTGAGACACAAAATGGGTGCTGCTTCACTTCTACCCCCAAGTTGGGCATAAGAACCTCTCCTTTTTTTTTTTAATGTTTATTTAATTTTGAAGGAGCCAGACAGAGCACGAGCAGGGGAAGGGCAGAGAGGGAAGGAGACACAGAATCCGAAGCAGGCTCCAGGCTCTGAGATGTCAGCACAGAGACCAATGCGGGGCTTGAACTCAGAAGCCATGAGATCATGAGCTGAAGTCAGACGCCCAACCGACTGAGCCACCCAGGCACCCCAAGAACCTCTCTTTATACCCATCCTACCCAGAAATATAGACAGAAAACAATTTTGTGAAATACAGTTGAGCTGTCAGTGCTGTCACTTAATAAACCACCAGAGTCCCCCCTCATCCACATGAAATCTACCCACATCCCCAGAAACCACAGTCTGCAAATAAAGAGAATATTGGCAGCCATGCTTCCACCTACTATGTGAAACCACCCAGTGAATAATTACAAACATGCTCAGCCCTTCCCCACAGAGGATACAAAATACCTTATTGTCTACCACTGATATTTATTTTTGTCCCAGATGAAATGATACCCTATAACTTCATCTTGAGATAGAAAGTTAACTATTATGAACACATCTGATGGTAGATGACAATGGGATGAGACAGGAGAACAAAAGAAAGGCATATGATTGCTATATATCCAAACAGATTCATATCAACATCAGGAAGAAACACTTGTTCCTTGAATTGTTCTCATTTCTGCCACTACCTGTGGTCAGAGTGGTGTCTATAATTATCTTCTTCACTAACGACCCCATATCCCCTTCCCTCAGCAAATACCTGAGCTAGTCGTCATCCCTGCCAGTTGGGAACACCACCTTTGTCTGGAAATTTGGTCCATTATCACATCTACTGAACTGGATTATGGTGAATTTATGACTATAATTACAGTCCAAGTTTAGGGGATTTTCTGAATCCATATATACTTCTGCTTGTCCCAGTGTGTGGTAGAGACCCAACTGCCCCTTGATAGATATCAGAATCATTGAGTCAGTGCCCCCTGCTTTTCCTGGTGATTCACTGCCAGAAAGACACAGGAGGGGCCATGGCGCCCTCTCAACCACCAGTGCAGAGCAGACAAGATCCCGCTGGGTATCATCCCATTCACAACACACAACCCATGTGGCTGATGAAAAAGTCTGTTCCTAAACCATTTTTTCCACATCACTACAGGGTCTACAATCTGTATCAAGCTCAGTTGATGAGGGCAGGACAACTAAGCCCAAGAACCAGGTGACCTAGTAGGACCTGGGGAGACAAGGAGAAGAAGTGAGATGTTCCAGGGTGGCCCAGACTCCTGGCCTGTGACACTCAGTGAGCACACAGTCCCCTGAGGAGGGGGGGGGGGGGTCTTCACAAGATGCAGCTGCAGGCACGGCAGGGCTGGGTGGGGCCCCGGGCATCTGCATATGGAACAGCTCCCAGGTGCCTGTGGTGCTGATCCTCCCAGGACCACACTCTGTGTGGCCTTACCTCTGCTCCCTGGCTGCTCCCAGCACAGGTGAGAGGCCCACAGGGAGGCACAGTGTGTGGCACAGGCACCCTGCTCTCTCCCACCCAGGGTTCATGGGGTCAGGTGCATGCCCTCACCTCTGTCCATATTGCTCCCTCACCTCAGGGCTGAACTCAGCTTCCCTTTCTTCTTGCAGGCCCCTCTCCTCTCCTGGTTTACAGACTCCATGCCTCCCTTGGCCTTATGCTACCTCCCTCCATGTCAGTGGCCCTGGGGAGGCCGAGAATCCCCTGCTCCAAAGATAAGCTCAGGCGTGAACATGCATCTTGATACCCGCAGAAGGCAAGCCAGGTCCCCAATCTGGTTATATATACAGATAGGAGCAACCATCCAGGTCTGATTCTGAGGATGCAACTTAGGGACATGGCCCCCCGGCATGACCAGGACCACGAGGGCCAGGACAAGGTTGCCATTGCTGTATCATCTATCATGGCAGCAGGAGTGTTAGGGAATGATTCACAGTGACACAGAAGGATGGGGATGGGACACAAACCCTCCCACCATGGCCTGGATCTCACTTCCACCTGCCCTCTCAGTAGGTGCTGTCAGGCCTTAGGATTGGTGTCCTCCCTGGTCCTGGCCTGACTCTCCAGGGTGGGAGAAACCAGCAGGTTCTTCCTCTGGTCTGTGTTTATCCTAATGAACAGAGTTGGGGGACTCTCCTGACTATTGGGATTATTGAGTTTTATGGTTGATAGTAAAGATTTAGGGTGTCATTAAATATCACATTGGCCCCAGATGTAATCA